TGGGAGCCTTTCCTGCTCCAGGTGTCACGGGCATAAGGGGCACAGCATTTGGCGGGGGAGGGCTTGTGTCTTTCGCTGCCATGAGTCACTGCTCTGTTTCCAGCTGTTTGAAATCTCCCAAGCCAAGTGAGAGCAGGCGGCTGCAGGGAACGAGCGCGGCGAATGTGCTTGGCTCAGAGGGTGCAGTACAGCCGCTAGATGACAGGACAAGTAGGAATTTGTCTGTCTTACCACAGCTCTTGTCAGGAGCACTTCAGCCTTTCAGCATTTTTCCCCCGTGCTGCGTCAGCTGCCGTGTTCACTGCTCTGGTTTGCATTATGGACCTCTCGGGCAAATGCACTAGACTGGGCAGATGGAAGATTTGCTTGGAGAGACTAGTTTCCAGTAGGCTCCCAGCCCCCTTCTCTTGGATAAACTCGTACCAGTAAGGCTTTATATCTGAGACGTGAGTCATTATCCCTGCTGCCATGGCTGGTGCTTTGCGCCACAGACTCTTGAACTCTGGCGACCCAATGAAGGGGCCAAGGAGGGCTGCGGGACCCAGGAGGCACTCCAGGTTCTGCTGTCTGGCACCACGGCCATAACATGCAGAAAGAAAGCGACCGTTCCAGCCCTGTGTGTGTGTGCAAACAGCTGCAGGGCTATTTCTGTCTCGCCCCGTCCAGAATACGGCTGCCCTGCAGGAAACACCCGGGCTGATTCTTTCAATGCTCTTTTCTCTGTTCACGTTTCCAGGCTGAAAAAATCAAAAAGAAGCGGAACACTTTGTTCGGCACGTTCCACGTGGCTCACAGCTCGTCCCTCGATGACGTGGATCACAAAATCTTAACTGCGAAGTGAGTGTCTGCTGCGTCTCTTCCTGCCAGCTCCTCCTTTCCTTTCCCCCACGTGCGGGAAGGTGCAGTACATGCGTGTATCCAGCGTGAGTTTCATTTTGCTCGGCTCTTGGAGGCGAGGCAGAGAGGGAACCTAGCTGTACAGAGCCCGGACCCCAAAAGAAATCATTAGGTAGCACATGTTCCACTCTAACTGCCCTTGCTCTCTGAGTTCGTTGGCTTTTTCCTGGCCTCAGTGCAATGTGTTGGTTTATTTGAGAGAGTTCTGTATACTTCCCCTTTGACAGACTGGGGGGACGTGTGAAGTACAAAAGCTAGCTGGTGACCTCTTATGTCCTCACGGTGCAGAGCTTCCGTCCCAGCCACTTGGAGTTGTTCAAGCTCTCAAGAGGCCGCTGAAGCATTCAATGAGGCATCAGTTGTAGACGGCTGCAGCTGGTTACCATCAGCCATATCCCTGCAAGTGGTCTGAAAGCACGGGAGAGCTCTGAAGTACAGCAGCCCAGGGAAAAGTGTGGGTCGAACCTCCTGACTCCCTTTCAGAGCCGGGGCATCCCTTGTCTCTTGTAATTCCACTGGCCCTTGTATTTTTTTTTTTTTCCATTTTATCCCCTCTTTGAATCTTGCTTTCAGGCAGGCCTTGAGCGAGGTGACGGCCGCCCTGCGGGAGCGCCTGCATCGCTGGCAGCAGATCGAGGTGCTCTGCGGCTTCCAGATCGTCAGCAACCCCGGCATCCACACGCTGAGCGCAGCCCTGAACATCGACCCCAGCTGGATGAGCATGCCCCGGCCTAGCCAGGCCCACTTCATCATGACCGATGACGTGGACGATTTGGATGAAGAGATCGTCTCTCCCATGTCCATGCAGTGTATGTATGCCTCACCGGGCGATGGTCACCGGGAAACCCTTTGGTGTACTGCAGCCTTGGGCACTCTGGGATGTGGTAGGGAGACAGGCAGGGGCAGCTGGATGGGAATGGTCTAGCTCAATTGGTTGTCGAGCCAACCCAGACAGCGTTACTCATACTACAGCTAATACGTCACCGTAGGCTGAGGACCTCGTGGTCAGAAGGCAACTTGACAAAGAGCAAGAGTGAATCCAAATGAACACGCACCCCCCCAAGTCAAATCAGGCTTTGATCCATGGGTGTTACAGGCCTCAGCCTGAGTTTCCAAGCATCCTGTCATTTGTGGTCCCAGCTTGAGACTCTCAGGCTGGGGTTTCTGGATGCTGAGCACCTCGTGGGGAAGCTGGGGTAGGTCTGAGCAGCTCAGCTCACTTGCCCCTGGGTTGGATGGTTTATGTTGCCAAGAGAGGTAACCAGCCCCTTTGCCCAGCTAGCCCTAGCATCTGTGAACTATAAACTCTTGTTGGACTCCTCAGTCAGCATCCCTGTAGCCCAGGGGTGAGCAGAATGGCAGATCTGGCCTGCGGCTGGACTCCCACTTCCCAGCAGCCCCTGCCTGTCTCCATGGAGATGGCTATGGGGTGTCGGGGCAGTCTGGCAGTGGCAGCCAGGAGGAGCTGCCACGAAGGGGCTGCTGGGAAATGGAGTCCGCCACGGTCCAGACTTTGCCCACCCCTGGCTTATCCCTACCATGGCCCCTTAGCTGGTTTCCATTGTCCATGGGCATGATCCTGCTCCATGCACTGGCAGATCACTTCCCCTCCAGTTCGTGATGAAAATGCTGTCAGGCGCCAGTGATGATTCCCCTTGTCAATCAACCTTTTCTCTCTCCCTCTGGACCCTGATTGGCTAACCCCAGACGCAGCCTGGCTCTTGGGGCGCAGGTTCAGCGACCGCTCGTCTCTCTCCTTGGAGGACCAGTCCCTCTGGAAATACCCTGGTTTGGTTCTCTTGGTTTTCTTCCTCTCCTCGTCCCACCCTTCGAACTAAAATCACACGCCCACATTTTCCAACTTTCCAGCGCACACAACTAATTTACGTGCTCCTCGCCTCTGAGTCGGCATCATCCGTACTAACCTCTGGGCAGAGTCTGCTGGGACAGAGAAGAATCATCCGTTTGCTTTGGACACCTCACGCTGAGGTTTATGCCAAGTTTTGGGCAGTGCCTTTGGTCGAGGCTAAGGTCCGAGTCCCTCGTTCCACCCAGCCAAGAGCTTCTGTGGATCCCTGTGGCAGAGATCAGGCTCTTTTGCAAAGAGAAATTCCTTCCACATTCAATTCCTAGTGCACAGGTCACCTCACTAGCCTGTCCCCATCCCTCCCACCATCCCCTGGCTCCTGTGGACTTCTACCTCTGAAATAATCCTCCCTGTCTCCTTGACTGTGGAGGAAAACTGAGGACGGGTAGCAGCAGCAGCAGTACCTCCTCTTTCAGGGCAGTTCCTCCCAGGGGCCAGGCCAGCAGTGGTCGGCATGGATTGATCTCCTGTATGGCTTTGCTGCCTCTGGTCCACAGTCTCCTCATCCCTGAGACTCCCTGGTTTGGCGGAGGTGGTGCAGGCAGCTCCGAAGGGCAGGACTCATTTCCAGTTCTCGCTGGCTCCGCTTCCCTTAGCGAGAGCGCGGTTCCAATACAAGACCCCGTCTAGGGGAGGCAGGAAGGGTACAGACTAATACTGCAGAGGGAGATCTCTTAAAATAGCCCGCCTGCTCCTGCCTGCCCACAAAATAGGCAAGATGCAAAGCATCTGGGGCCTCGCTGACTACTGCATTTCTCTGCCCGTTACAGCGATTCACCCCTGTGGCTTCAGTGCTGGACTACGGGGGTGAAAAGGGGTTAATGCAGCGGTCAGGGGGATTCATGCAGCAGGAGTTGGTGCTTCACATCAAGGCCTGCGGCAGGGATGTTCAGCTGGGATTTACAAAAACGCTTTTGCAAGGCGATGAGGTCGCACCAGAGCTACAAGCCCTCCAAGGCCACGTAGCAACAAGAGGGGGAGGCTTGACTTCTGGGTGTTAACAATAAGAGATTGGTAAACAGTCCCTGGGGCATTGCATTGCACAGGTACTGAGCTGGTGTATGAAGGGGGTGGTCGCCCCATGGAGGCTGGGAAGTGCCTCCACGGAGAAAGGCCCATAGTCCCCCCCAGGTCCTTTGGAGATCTCTGGCATCCCTCTTGCCCCATAAACGCAGCCCTCTGCTCCCGCTGCCCCTTGGGTTGTGGGCAGAGCACCTTTGGGGCCGTTGCTGAATGTCAATTGGAGAAGCTTGGGGCCGATGGCTTGAATGGCCCCTTGTTGTGGCATTCAGACCCCCTTCTCCAGCCCCTGTCCAGGAGAGCTTTTGGCAGCCTCGCTGGCCTGCCGGGAGTTGCAGATTTATCTGCATGTCAGCTCCGCACAACTTCATTGCGTTGCTTTTCTTTCCACTCAGGGTTCAGCGGGCAAGAAGTTCTTTATGCTATAAAGCGGTCCCGTAGAAGGGCTGCTGCTGACAGAGATCAGCGGGAGAGGAGCGAGGGGAAGCCCCTGGAGGATGCTGCATAGTTGACCCTGGCACTGCGAAGGCAGCAGCTTGCTTGGATTATTCCTGCCCTGCGTTTTCCCTGGCGTGTGATGCATCCCTTAGCTGTGCGAGGCCCTTTCCCCCAGGCACGGGTTTTTCACAGCAATACTGCTCTGGTTCTTCACTTCCCGAAAGAGCTCTCCCTGGAATTCATTTCTGAGCTTTTCTCTCTGCTCTTCTTTAACCGTGTTACATGACTTGTATGTATCTGCAGCTGCATCCACTGCTGGGGGGGGTGGGGGGTGGTCCTGAATTGGTGTCTCGCATCCAAAATGTGGTTCCGGGATGGAGGGCCCCAACCCAGCTTGGTCTCGGAGGTGTCTGAATGGAGCTGGGTGGCACTGAGGAGCCTTTGTTCCAAAGGACGACCCTGCTTCACAAACCACCAACATCCGTGCAACCACCTGCGCTTGTGCTGAAGAGTTCCCCTGGCTCTTACCCCTGGGTGCAAGGGAGTATGGCCCTGCAGTGTCAGCACTGCCCTGGGAGATCTCCTGGGTTCCTGGTCCTGTTCCTTGGGTTATTTCTGTTTTCCAGCCAGTGACTATATCATGCACCTTGCATAGACTCAAACCCAGGCCTCCTTCACAGAGGAGGGACCTCAGGGGCCACCTGATCCAGCCCCCAGGTGGGAACATGAGGCTGCAGAGGCATGCTCCCTCTTGCTCTCTCCCTGCCTACTGCATAGGGATCTTGGACACTAGGACCCAGGCAAATGGACTCCCTCTAGGTGCTTAGACTATAGGCAAGGGGATGCCTCTGAGACCAAACTGGGTTGGGCCCTCCGTGTAGCCACAGTCGCCCTTGTCTGCAGTGTGGGGACCCAGGCGGTGAAACCCATAGGTCCCAGCACATCCTGATGAATGTGGTCTGAGCGGCTTTGCAGATGCTTTTAGGCTCTGCAGAATACATCTGGCTCCTCTGAAGAATGTGCTCGGGTCAAGCAGAAGCTTAAGGCTTGATGCAGAGGTTGCTGGCTGAGGTGCTTTGACCTGCTAGACCCATTGCGTTTCTCTCGCCCGATCTGTGAACCCACCAGTGACAATGCTCCAGAGGGAGAGAACTGAGCTTGGCCCTCAGATCCCAGGATTAATTTGCAATTAGCCACCGCAAGCTGAGCACTTTTGGATCATGCAGTTTATTGGAAAACCAGCAAATGTGTTCATTTTTCAGAACATTGGAGATGCATAAGATGGTGAAAACTGGTAACCATCGCTACTAACCTTGGTTGAACCAACTTATGCATCTGCAGTGGTCTTCCCAACCCTCCAGTCCTGCAGACAAAGGTACGTGGCAAACAAAATCACCAGATGCTTGCATCTTAATTGAAGCTTTCCCCATGCTCGAGTCCTAGGGGAAAGTACTTCACCATCGAGGCGCTCTGGGCTGTTGTGGGATACGCCTGGTGTGGTCCTGTGGAGCCAACAGGGTAGGGGTAGAAGTCGTGCGAGTGAGGTCTGATTCTGGGTTCCCGCTCCAGTCTCATCTCTGGTAGGAGTATGTGTTAAGTCAGGGCAGGATCAGAAGCGGTTGACCTCTGGCAAGAACATCAAGCCTCACTCCCCACGGGCGAGGTCATTAATCTAGCACATCAAACCGGAGCCAAGACTTATGCTTTCACAGTGTCTAACACAGCACAGCTGATGCGGCGGCCAAAAGGGCCAGAGCTGTGCCCTGTCGAGATGGCTTAATAGCCACGACCGGTGTTACCGGCCCGTGCCACCTGGCTGATTTGGTGCGCAGGGGCTTCCCCCACTGCATTCAGCCTTCTCCTCTCTCTCCTTACAGCCCCTGTTTTGCCGAGCGGCGTCCGCCAGCGCCTCGTGGACCCCCAGCACGCCCTTGGATCTCAGAGGTTGGTAGAGAGTTACATGCAAGGCCAGAATGAGTTGGGCCAGCCTGTTCATTACCTGGCAGGCCGAGCGTCTCTCCGTCGAATGCACAGCCTCACCGGTGGACCGTCTCTCAGTTCCGACCTGCACGGAACCGGCCCATCGTCAGCCACCACCACCACCTCTTCCTCCTCTTGCTCTTCTGCCTCCACCACCACTGCATCTGCTCCTGCTTGCCATGCTCACCCTATCTATTACCATCACACCACCTCCTCTTATTTCCTCCAGATGGACTCCATCCCCGACCTGCCCCCTCCTGACGTCACCTCTGGGATCCGCTGTCGCACTGAGAGCTTTGGGTATATCGCTCTTTCTTTTCTAGCCCACGCCTGCCTGCTGTGGCTCAGGATCAATGCTTGCTCTGATGTTCTTCCTCCTAGATCCCTTGTTCCTTTGGGCTTTAATCATGTCGTGGTTTGTTCAGGCTTTTGCTTCTTTAACCTCTCTTCCATGTACGTGGACCCTCTTAAGATTGCCGCTGGTTCAGAGTGTGGCCCAGGTGTCGCATCTACCAGCCCAAGGGCAACAAACCGAGGAGGCGTTGTGGTCTTAGCTGTAGATGGGAATGCCTCCGCACATCTGTCTCTATGTAAATTAGTCTTATTGGGGCGATGTGCCTACATGATCAAAGGTAACATAACTAATCGAACAAACACTGACCTTATTTGAAGCCTTGTCTTACCTGTGGGTCTTCGTAAGAAAATTGCAAAGGAAATCTAAGGAATGGAAGCAGTTAATTACCGGGTAGAGTCGCTGGACCACGTTAATGGTCATAGTGACATCGCAGCATCCTGCGGCCCTCGGGTACTGCGCACCCAGCAGCGTCTGTGGAAGTGTAGAGCGAAGAGGGATTCTCCTTGCACAGCCCCGTTGGAAGGGACGGAGGAAACGGGTCTGAGCAGCAGCAGTTAGCCTCTCGGTGCTAAGTCAACAAGCCTCCCTCTGCTCCTTGAGGGCCTGCGGTGGGTACTCGAAGGCCTGTCTGAAATGACAGACCCACCATCCCGCACCTGATTGGCATGGCTGCGGGCAGTCAGCAGGGCTGGCGAGCGCTGAATGGCCCCTGGAAACTGGATTCCCTTTTCTGCGAGGCGGCAGAAGCCCCCGGCAGGGCAGGGAAGCCTGCGCTCCATGGCTCACGCTTGTAACTGTGCAGCTGAAACTGAGGCTCGCGCTGCCCTCTAACGTTCAATTTACACCCGGAAGACGGGCAGACGTAACTTTTACCCGCTTTCAAAGGGGAGGGTGAGCTGCCCTGGATAGCGCGTACCAGCTGCTGTGGTGCAGCTGTTACCTCTGCATGTTCCTTTTGATGATACAAGGAGAGCAAAACTGTTGCAACTTTAATTCTGCCTGAAACAAGATGAAAGTTACTGTGGTTTTGCTACACTTGATCGTTATAGGCCCTACAGGTTACACTGAGGCAGTTGGTAGTCACAATATTTGGCAGTGAAACGATAGGATTAAAGGTGTTGGGTGTAAAGCCTACAAATTGGGTTTAATAGCAGCAGGCGCTAGATGGGGACCGGAGTTCACAGCGGGGTACGGCAGAGTGACTGCCGCTGAGGCGTGTAGCCATGGTCCAGTGCTAGAGCCTGGGACCGGGAGTCTGGGCCTGTGGGTTCTCTTCCTCCTGCAGACTGGGTGACCCCGGGCAAGCCCCTCGGTTCTTCGATCCTCTGATTCCTCCCTTTTCGCATTGGAGATCTTTCTCCTCGAGCTGGAGCATGTGGTCAGGTCCTTGTGGGAATGAGCCCTTCCAGGAAGTGCAGAGCCCCCGTGTTGCATTTACCTACCCCCCTAACCACTACATCTGTATCACAACATGGCCGGTATTAGTCCCCCTGCTTGTAGATACTCCCACAAGATGTTCAGTGCAGTGGCCCTACGCAGGCTCACTCCCTGACTGACCACGTCCCTGAGGCAAGTACTGTTGGGTAAAGAAATTGCTGATGGACCAGAGCAACCACCAGGCTTATGAGCAGCAGCGCTTGCAAAGTATATGAGCAGGAGCAAATCCTGCGTGGTGGCCGTGTGCACTGGATTTCGGGGAAAACCTTCACAGTTAGAACAGGGAGGCAGTGGAATAGATGCCCAGGGGAGTTGTGGACTCTCCGCTGGAGGGGTTGAAGGAGAGGCTAGACAGATACTGGTCGGGGATGATCTAGGCGTACCAATGCCTGTGTGCTACTGTGGGGATTTCCTAGGCTTTTTGGCTTTGCTGCTTGCGTCCCCCCGCTTTCTCCTACACGTGTCAGGGTGGTTTTTAAGTCTTCCCAGAGGCACTGGATGTTGGTTGCTGCCCAGGCTGGGGGTGGTCACTGGCCTTGCTGGGTCCTGGCTAGAGGGTCTTGTCCCTCTGCTCAGGGTTAAATCAGTCGCCATCAATAGGGTCGAGAAGAAATTTTTCCCCCTGCTCAGACTGATACGGACTGGGGGGCTTTGCTTTCCTTTGTACCGGGGAACCTGGCCTCTTCCTGGGAACTCTTGAGCATCTATTAACAGCTTTTATAGAATCGGGACATTGGCCACTGTGGTCCCCCTGCTTTTCCCCGGGGCAGGTTTGGGCCTGATGTCTGTGTCGTGTCAAGGTGAATTGTGTAGTTTTGCTAAGAGGTCAGATAATGGCTTTGTCTGGGCTGGCTTGGACAGGGCTGATCCTGCCTCAGGCAGGGCTTGGACTAGCTGGTCTCTGGCAGCCCCACGGCTCTAGGATTCCTTGATTCTGGGGTAAAGAAACCACGTGAAAGTCCACAGGTGAAAATGGCACCACAGCAGAGTCTTAAGCTGCAGCATCTTGGTTCATTTACCAATGCTTATTTAAGCCTAACCAAAACCAGACAAGCCCAAATTTAACTGCTTGCTAATTGCAGTTAAATCAACCCCATCTGAGTCTGAGTTTAATACAAAAAGGCTTGAAAATACTTTCTGTGACAAGAGGCAAGCCCCAGTTCATTGATACAATACAAAGAAAACCCCAGGGAGGAGCTGACCGTCAGCCTGACGTGCCGTTCGCCATTAGGCAAGCCACTCTCTAAACACGACCAGTTACTCAGGGGAGCAGCTTAGTCTTTAGGGCTGGGTCTGTCTGACTGCCGACCGGACACAAGGCCTGGTCCTTCAGCTCTTCCAGCCACAGACAGAAGGGTGCAAGCTTGATGCTCGCATCGCACAGAGGGACTGCAATAATCTGCCTGTCGCTGGGACAGGCCAACCTGGGATGAACCCTTCTGTTGTTACCTGCACGTTATTTCTAGCTGAAGGAAGAGAGGAATCGGTTTGTTTCTGCTCTGGGTGCAGGCGGTGCGGATCCTCTCTCCACTTGTTGTTTGGGAGGTCGCATCCGTTGGGCATGAATGGCTGTGTCGTCCAAAGCGCACCCAGGCTCGTTCCCCGCTGCTGCTCTGCTGGCATTTGTGTCCAGCTGCATCTTTAATGGCCCCAGCCTTGCAAGCCAGAGAGCAAGCCAGTGGATTCTGTTGTATAGAAATCTCAGCCTTTTCTGAACCTCACTCCAGCTTGGTAGCACCCTCGCTAGAGGCGAGCACAGCAGAGGGGAAACTAGTGGAAGGCAGGGTAGGCTTGTACCTTATAGACTAACCAAAGTAGATATATATGGAGGGGAAATGAGTACAGAGAAGCCACCTAGGAACCCAGATGTCCTGACTCCCTCCCCGGTGCTCCAGACTGATGTATTTATGGATCCCGTTTGCTCCAGCAGATACGGATGAGGGCAAGGCTTGGTCAGGGAGATTGTCTCGTATAGGCTCGTCCTTTTCCCCGGGGGGGAAAGTGTCATTTTGGAGAACTGGCAAGTACTGAGCTATGCGTTTTTTCCCCCCCCCCCACCTTCCGTGTCCTGCACGCAGCTGCCCAAATACATTCATGGGGTTAAAACCTATTTGCAATGAACAGTTGACAGGCATCTTCTCGAAAGACCGGGCCCAAGCACGGCCAGCAGATCAGACTTGCCTAAACACCTCACTGTTTGCTTCTCTTTTGCAATTGGCTTCAGAGGATCCGGCACAAATAAGGTCAGAGCTGTTCTGATTTCGAAGGCTGGTGTGTGTCGTTCAGTGTCAGTCGTGGATGACGGGGCTGGACAGCCTGCCGGGGGGAAGAGGGGCAGGGACGGATGCTCTGTGCACAGAGGTTTCTGCTTCCCAGCGCCTGCGTTCAAATAGCACCAGTGGTTTCAGCCAGGTGGAGAAGGGGAGGCAGCCAGCCTGGAGGTAGAGAAGGAGCCCATAGAGCAGGGAGCTGCACACAGCTGTTTTTGTGGGTTGGGGGATTAACGATGGGGTTACCTCTCTTCAGGACCCTCTTACACTGTGCAGAGGAGAGCAGCATGGCTGAGCAGCACGGCCGGGATACCTCTGCTGTCGGGGAGCCTGTATCTCACTGGTACCATGGGCTGGGGGCGTAGTCTTATGGTTACAGCCCCTAGCTGCAAGGGCAGGGAAATGGCCTCACATCGGCTCCTTCCACCAACCCAGAGAGCTCTGGAGTGACTCGGCTCAGGTCCTTTCTGATGTGGGAGATGAGACAGCAGCAGACGGGGCAGATGAGGACCCACCCCCTCTTTTCTCCCCCTTGTCATTCTTCTGCCTCCCCCATGCTGGTTTCTTATCCATTCTTTTCTCTTTGGGCATTTGCTTCTCTCCACTCATGCCGACCCATTCCTACGCCCCTTGTCCATTCCCCTCGATCATCCCGGATGCCCACAGTTGTGACATAGGAAGAGCAGGGTTGGGTAGGATTGCACGGCGATCTACAAAGCTGGCGCTTGTCCCCCTCTATCGATCTCTTACCTTCATGGGCTGGGAACGCGTTTGGCCACCTGAAGAAAACCCGGCAGACGCTGTAGCAGGGAGGCCGACCTTTCCCAAAGTAGGTGCCTGAAGCTAAGTGTCCTGAGTCCTTGCTCTGGCACTCGGGATAGTCTCCTGCTCTTCAAAAGGGCTGAACGTCTGGTAGCTCCCTGTGACTTAGCAGCGGGGATTTTCTGGAAGCCCTGGGGGACTGGAGTGCACATCCCATGGACTTCTCCATTGCTCCGAGCCTTTGAAATTCAGGATCGCCATGCCAAAGCAAGCCTGTCTAGCTGAGAATAGCCTAGCTGTCTTCACCCTGCCTTGGTGAAGGGGGATTGAGCTACACACCCTCTCCAGGTCCCTCCCAGCCCTATGTGTGTCACTCAGTAGGGACTGCTGCCTGCTCGGCCTTTCTGAAATCGGGCCACCGGCCCAGTTGCCAAAACAAAGAGTCAGTCAGTGCCTATTTCTGAATGCATTGGTCTATTGACTTTGATTGGGATAACTTCATCACGAATTGGCTGGTCAAGGAGCTGCAGTAGAACAACGCAGCAGTGCCCAGTGTCGAGTCCTCTTCCAGCTGTGCATTCAGCTCTGGGTGTACACGTGCTCAGCAAACCCCAGACGGGGGGCTTCGTAAGGAGAAGTTTTGTCAATCTGTCCCAACTGCAGGCTATAAATCAGTGCTGAGCCAGCCTCTGCTCCAGTCCCTTCTCCACCACTCGTGATCTAAGGGGCAGCGCCAGCGTTGGCAGCTAGCGTAGCTTGCTTCGGCTCTGCTGGGGTGAGCAGGGTTCATTAATGGTGCTCGTTTGATTTAGCAGCGCTGTCGTGGTGTAGCCCTGATGGTCCACAGAACATGCGAGTTGCAAGATTCGTTTGGGGATCCCTTTAATTGGACCAATTGCATAGCTCAGAGGGGTGAGAGCTTGTCTGGCATCTCTTCCAGCCCGTTTTAGGATAATTAAGTGTCTTCAGGGAATCCAGGGAGACATCTGTCTTTAGTTTCCTCTCCCAATTCCTTCCCTACCACTCCTTTAGTCTTCATTTTGAAGACATGGGCTCCCTCAGGTGCAGTGTTTTCATGCCCTTCTGCAAACTCAAGAAGTCTAGGGAGGTGTGAAGCCAACCTGGGCCCAGAAACCCCTCAGTGACAGCTTCAGGAGCTCTCAGAGATCCTTCCCGCAAGGCTTTGTCTCGTAGGAAGGTTCAGAAGGGAAAGGACGAGTGTCTGGGAGGAGGCAAGGGGGGTCCATACCAGGCCCAATATTTCAACAGCCGAGGAGAGAGGGATCCGCTAGGCCCCTGTGAGCTCACCCTTGGGTCTGTGAGGCCTGCAGTTTGCACCAGCATGGCACCACACGTCCCTTTGTCTTCGGCACCAACCAGAGAGCGCATTTCTACTTCATCACCACGTGACACGGTGATGCTAGATTTGCCGTTGGCTCCTTCGGTGCTTTAAAACCATCACATCAAGTCACAGCTCTTTCCATGGGGCTAGTGTGCTTAAGACCTACCATTTCCTGTAGCCAGCACAGAAGGGAACAATGTGCTCCGGACCCTAGAGACCACGGATTTCAGCAGCGATTGACCCGTCTGCTGTGACCGTCCCCATGTGCCGATCTGTGCGTGCCTACATCAGTCTATGGCCAACTGCCATCGCGTCTGGCCGTCTTTGATGCCAAGTGCCCATTTACAAATGGATCAAGTGGAAGCACCTTTGGCACGTCCAAGACTTTCTGTAAAGTACAGAAGCTCTTCAGATTCCTTGAGAGACCGTTCATAAAAAACCTCAGACATTCCTCCCACCACAAAGCCAGCTGGAGCCATCTCCCCATCCATAGGTCTCCATTACAGGCAGCCAAGACCGTACGGCAGGCTCCTGCTGTTATTCTGCAGATGGGTAAAAGCAGAGAGAAAACGTTTCTCATCAGTGAGGCAGCGTTCCTTCTGCACCGACTCCGCTTGCAGTCACAGCAGTTGATGAGAGAAGCAGACGGATGCAGCCAAAACGCGTCAGCGACTTGAGAGAGAGCGTATCTCTGCATGACTGTTTTTTGATTAACGAGCCATCAGCCAGTAACGGCGATGCGTCGATTTCATTAATGCTAACAAACGAGGGCAGTTTGCTAACAAACTTCCAGCAGCGTGTGGACCGCTTCGTGGCCTGCGTTAGTGAAGGCAAGTCCGCAGCAAGGGCTGCTCGAGCGATGACCTTGGAGGCTGCAGAGAGTGATCGCCGTGATGTTAATGGTGTTTTAGGAATTTGGCCACTGCAGAGGCGGCACGGGTGATGGTGGAAGACCTTCCATTTTATGGCAACACGTTATCTAGCAAGAAGGCAAAGGAATCTCCCCGTACGTTAAAAGGTGAACACCACGCTTTATCCCTGGGGAATGTGCATCTATAACCAAAGCCAGCCCACTACGAACTTACCCCAAATGCAGATATACTCCACGGTGATTTTGGCACTAATCTTTAGGTGAATAACCACAAAAATGTCGACAGGTGGGAAGGGCCTGCTCCGTGGTACCTCCAGCATCAGCTAAGCACATGCTTTGACAGGACCTTTAAGGTCAGTTCATCATTTATTGCTATATCCGCCCACCCTCCCCATCCCTCTACTCCATATCGAGAGCGCCTGCCGCTTCATCGAAAACAGGATGAGGGACAGAGATGCCCCGATTTTCACCAGGCTCCGCAATCTAGTTCTGCGACCCATCCTCCCTGCAGAGCCGCCCCCCACCTCGCAGCAGCTTACACGAGAAGGAAGCGATGCTGTCTTCCAGCTGGGGTGGATCAAACTTGTGCCTTCCCAGACTAAAAGGAACGGTTTGTTTTCCTCGTCCTTGCTGGACCCCACGAAGGCAGGTGGATAAAGACCCGTTGTGGACCACGGAAAGTGAAACGCTTTCACCTGCGGTATCGGGTTATAGAACAGCCAATTCCTTGATCCCGTCACGAGATCGAGAGAGTTGGTTTGCAGCTCTTTCCGCACGAAGCATGCCTCCTTTTGCTGCCAACGTGCACCTGCAGGTCCCTGACGAGTCCACGTGATTGCCAGCCGCAAGGTGCCCCCTTTCAGTCTTTCACCAGCGCGGAGGGTTCTCCGAGGTCATCTTGCACCTGCAGTGCTGGAGGCTGCAAGGGAAGAGAGGAATGTGGAAAAGACCCTGGTCGGACCCAGGTCACTGCCTTCCAGGTCACTCCTGACTTACCAAAGGGATTCGGGAACTGGCAAACGTGAAAGCTAAGAGATCCCAGATCCCGCCCGCCACGACCCCCCAACCGAAATGCAGTCCTTGATCTCCAGCGCAGTTGTGCTTTACCTGCTGCGTCCCAGGGCATCTAAGTGCAGGCGTCACCCATCGGGGAGCTTGTTCCCAACCAATGTGAAGGAGAAACGCAATGGGTTTTCTTTCGGGAACACCCTGAATTGCAGGCTTATTGAGGGATGCCTTCCTGACTCGGCTTGGTTTTTCATCCCTCGCGGTACTTCCAAGAGTCCCACGAATCTTTTTGAGGCCTTGACCCTTATGATTGAGAAGGGCCTTGGCCTTTTGACTTGCCCAAAATTAAACTATTCAGGAAACACCCTGGGATATTTTTTCTCCTTCACGTAGAGAAGGGAGTTGGCACTCAAAGTGCATCTTGGGGTGCATCCAGCTCTGCTACGGCCTTCCTAGCACTCCTCATCTTAGCAGCATTATTATCGGGCAGACCCTGGGACCGTGGGCACGCAGAGCGCACGCACAACCTGCGCGGCGCGGTGCATCCCTGAGGAGGAGAGCACGTCTCAAAGGGCTCCGGGTGCTGCCAGTTCCCCGGCTTCCCCTGCATCCTCATCCTTCCACTCCTCCCCATCCTTCCCCCATGTCTCTCATTTCCTTCTTCTGGGCCGTTGGCTCCAGCTACCACAAAGTACCAATAAGATGGGCACGTAGCAGCAAGCTCCATAGTAGCAGTAATAGTACGGAGGGGCTGGAGCTAGCCTTAAAGTGGCCAGCTTGGGTCCTGGTAGCCGTCTAGCAGGACTCATTTACCCTGCTTCTAGTGTGGCGGGATGGGTGCTGGGCCTGGCGGCTGCACCCATCTTAATCAGACCTACCCCACCCTGAAGGCTGGCGGCGGCTGAGGCTGCGAGGCCGTATCTGGCTCTCCAGGCCGCCTGCTCCTGGAAGGACCTAGGATAGCGGCAGGACCGGGCTGCTCCACGCTTCCCTCCTCCCTCAGCCAAGACCAGGCGACAGGCGGGTGGATTGGGGGAGGGCGCAAACCCCTGTGCAGCGGCGGATGGCTTGCAAGCAGCTCCCAAGGCAGCCGTGTGTCGAGCACCCCTTCGGGCATGGCTTTGTGTGGGGAGGCCTCCCCTCTAACTACGACGCTGGGGGAATAGAGGTGGGAGTCGTCGGCGGCGTGGTCGCCCCCCCCCCCCCCCCCCCCCCCAGCCTCTCGAGCGGGGCCGGGGGCAGCAGCCAGGCTAACGCTGTCCGTCTCCGAGCGGGGATGCGACACTTGCCTGTTGTGGGCGGAGCGGGGCGGGCGTGCAGATGCAAGGCGGGGAAACGCAGTGGAATTCTGCTCCGAGTCCGGGACCCCGGCCCTGCTCCCCCAGCTCTGAATTCCCCGCAGCCACCGGGAGCACCACGCTGGGGGCGCAAATTGACACTGGGAGGGTGCAGCCTCAACGAGAACTCCCGGGGAACCTCACGGCTCCAGGCTGCGGTGGGGGCCGCGCTGCCGGTCACCCCTCGCTCTCGTCCCTGCAGCAGGAGCCGGCCTGGTTGCACCTCACGCCTCCAGTGGGGCCAGGCCGTCTGCCCTGGGGGGTTGCCCATCGGGACCCCCACGGCAGAGCGGGACCGTGCCGGACTCCCCGGCCCCGGGGACGTTCCGCTGCGTTGCCCGCCCGGGCCTTGCTGCTGCATCCGTGTGCATGGGAGCACGTGTGCATGTGGGGGTGCCAGGCCCCGGTTCTAACGCGCTGTCTTCTTCTCCCCCCATCCGCTGCAGAGACCTCACTCGCTCCGAGTCCGACTCCTCTATCCCGCACATGAGCGACCACCAGCGCGTCTGCAGCCCTGCCTCCAAGCTGCTGGTGGCCAGGCCCAACCTGCTGAGCCGGAGCACGGAGGAGGCGGCTGCCGCCCTGTGTGGCCCCACCTCCAACGGCGGCAGCCGGCACGCCGAGGCCTTTGCCCCGGAGCGGCTGGCCGAGAGCCCCCGGGTGAGGAACAAGGCGATGGTGGTGAACCACGGCTTGGCGAAGTCCTGCAGCCTGGGCGAGATGGGCCAGGCGGCAGGCAGCAAGCACAGCCACTCGGATTCCTCCCGCTCCCACAGCCCCAGCTCCACCGAGCCCGACACCCCGTCCCCCACCTCTGACTCCCGGCCCGGCAACGCCAAGATCACCCGCATCCCGCAGCTGGCCGCCAAGAAGAGCCCCGGAGAGGATGACAGCGGCTCCACGGGCGAGGAGACTGACTCCAGCCAGGGCAAGAAGAAGTTCCCCCTAAAGATCTTCAAGAAGCCCAAGAAGTAGGAAGCCGAGGAGGCGGACCGCGCCCCTGCCACGGCCTGGCCCGGCGCCACGCCAAGGGACAGCCCTTCCGCTCGCTGCCACCCGCGCCCTCTGCCCCCCGCGGGGAGGACCGGCTTCACCCTATTTATTTCCCAGGCGCCGGGAAGCCAGCCAGCCCCTCCGCGGGCCTAGCCCCTCGCTTCTCTGTGCATGGCTTCTGGCTGCTCTGTCCTCGCGCGGCCTCGTGGCGCGGGGGCTTCAGCTCGGCGGGGGGTGGGGGTGGTATATTTTGGTTCTCTCTTTTTTTTTTTTTTTTTCTTCCTAGCTGCCTTTTTCTGGACTCTGCATCAGCATGAGACCCTGGGTGGGCACGGAGGGGGCACTCGGGGGGGCCCACGCCGCTTGTGCCAGCCCCCGACCCCCTTCGGAGGCGAGGCGGGAGCATCCTGGGTACCGGGCTCTCTGGCCCCTCGCAGCGGCTGCTTCTGACGCTTGATGCCTCGCGGAGCGCCCCCACTTGCGTGGCTTGGGAAAGGAGCAGGAGCCTGCTGGCGCGGGGAGAGCGTCAGCCCACGCCAGCCCACCCGGTTCCCAGCTGCTCCCGTGCCTGCCTGGCGGAGAAAGGGGCCGTGGGGGCGAGATGCCGGCTTTCCCTCCTGCCCGCGCCTCTGGCCTTGTCTGAGGCCCAAAGCCTCTTGTACCCGTGCAGCAGAGCCGCACAGCCCTGCTGGAATGATGGGAAGGAAACACTGAGGCAGGGGGACAACCCGTCCTTGCTCTAGGGCTCAGGCACCTGCTGCTATTCCTGGGGGGCCACTAGCTCCCTTGTCCCAAGCCTTCCAGCGGCCTCCCCGCGCACCGGGCCGCATCCTGCCCCCAGCTGTGTACAGCGAGGGCGTGAGACACCTTGCAAAGGGGCACATGGGCCAGGGTGCAGGACGGAGTAAGAGGCATCAGCCGCTGCTTTGTGCGCGTCAGCAACCGGGGACTCGACCAAGTGCCTGCACTGCCCACACCCACAGGCGGGAGGGAGACGCCAGGGCGCAGGATGGGCATGATCAACAGGGGAGCTGGGGGCCCCGGGGCCTGCCGGCCTGGGCGAACCTCGTGATGCAGGGACCGACGCCGGCCTCGTGCCTGCGGACTCGCCCCGAGCCAGCTCCGCGCGCCCGCGGCAGCCCCCTCCCCATCGGCGGTGTTTGTCATGCCGTGAGACTTTTAAACCAATAAAGCATGTCGGGGATTTTACCTGCCGTCTTAGCCCGTGCTCCTTCCTGCCGGGCTCAGCTGGCACGTGGCTCCCTCCTGCCTCCGACCCCGAATCGGGGGCACCACTTGTGGCTGGCACGATGCACTGGCAGCTTCCACCGCCCGGCAGGGCAAGGAGTGGCCCTGAGGTCCCAGGCCGGAGCCCGCGGTACTGCTGAGATCTGGCTAACGCAGCGATCCTGGGGACCATCCAGCACCGCATCAGGCTTTGCAGCTTATTCTTTGGGCCTTGCTGCTGCGCCAGGCTCCAGAGCAGAGATGCCCCAGGGGCGCAGGTGCTGGGCTGGGGCATTAATTATGTCCACAGGACACCCCGGGGGCAACAGGTGCTGGGCAGGGAAAGCACGTGGCCCTTTTGACCCCATGTCTCCCAGCAGTGGGAGAGACCAAGGCCAGCTGTGTCCAGGGTCCGGGCCTGTATGCCAGGATGCTGCATCTTCCAGGCCGAGCTCTGTGCTGGTTGGGTTGTGCCACAGGAGGTCCAGGGACAGGCGATCCCAACCCATAGCACAGGCTCCTGCCCTGCCCACCACTTGGGCCCCAGTGCTGCTGATGGAGGCAGCCTATGGGCAGCCTGCAGCCGCCTCTAGTGACAGGGACAGATGCTGCTGACGGCAGTGGGATGCCGCTGTGGCGCAAGCCATGAAGCCACAGTGGCCCAGCTTGTTTGCTGTGTTCCCTCCTGCCCCTGCCAGCTGGGTGCTGCTGGGGTGTTTCCCCCTTCATAGAAATCCCAGAGCAGCGGGGCTGGAAGGGAGCTGCAGAGGTCACATCTAGTCCAACCCCTGCCTGAGGTAGGATCAGCCCTGTCCAAACCAGCCCGGACAAACCCACTGTCCAACCTCTGGGCCACATGACAGTCACCCCTGCCCTGACACAGCACCAGGCATCACACTCCACCCTGCCACAGGGAAAGCAAAGGGACTGAGGCCATCAACGTCCTGCTGCCAAAAGATTGTTAACAGACACTCGAGAGATCCCAGTCAGGGACCTTGCCCCAGCTACAGAGGAAGGTGAAACCCCTCAATCCATCTGAATCTGACCAGGGGGGAAAACCCCTTCCTGACCCCAAATGTGGCATTGGTCTGACCCTGAATGGAGGGGCAAGACCTTCTAGTCAGGACCCTCCGGGGCTTGGTCCCAGCAGGAGCATCAGCACAGCCCAGTCCCCATCTCCAGCCTGGGCTGTAGCCAGCACCTTGGCGGGGAGGCTTAAAAACCCTCTGACACGTGTCGCAGCAAGAGGGGGGAGGACAGCAACCAGCAGAGACCAGAAGCCTGGGAAATCCTCATAGTAGCACACAGGCATCACTGCGCTTTACAACACGGAGCTATTACTCAGCCCTAGTCACGGGGCAGGAAATTACCATGATCAGTTCTGCACTGATTACCGCAGAACGAGGAGCATGCAAGGAAAGTGGAGAAAACACCACCACTAAGCACTGCACGCCCCCGGTTAGCAGCTATCCAGTTGAACCCCTGCATCCTGAATTTGGTGCGTGGGCTCAGAGCGTTAAGATGAGACACGAGGCGAACAGAGGCCCTCCAGGGACCTCCCCAAACCCAGCACAGAGCTTGGTCTCTGGTCGCAGCTGCTTGTGGAGACATCTCGCACTCTGACCCTTGCACTCGGTTGCTGGGCCACTGCCCCGGGGCCACCTGTCACCAGCCAGCCAGCGAATTCGACATTGCAGGACTGCTGCACTCACTCCTGGCGCCACAGGATGTGACAGAGAGAGGATTCAAGTGCCCCTGGCCTTGCAGCTCTGAGCTGCCTGGCTCTGGAGGGGGAAACCCTCCTCTTATCCCAGCTTACACCAGCTGGAAAGGTCTCAGGAGGAAGAGAGCATGAATGGCTCCTTTCTGCCCACCTGGCAGTAGAGGCTGAGGCGGACAGTCCTTGCCCAGGCTCCCAGAGAGCACTGGCCTGGTCCTACCCGCTTAGGGCACTGGAGAACGAAGCCAGACCTCAGTGCCCCCTCCGCTGCCCAGGGATCATGCAGGGGCATCATGCCCTGTGGAGACAGTGAAAGGAGTTGCCTGGGAGGAATTTCCAACACCCAAAGCCAAGGAAGGGTGCAAGGCTGGCAGGAGAGGACTGGAGCACAGCCTTTGCTCACCTGGACGCCAGGTGAGGCCCCGACCCAGCCCAACTGGTCACCTAGGACTCACTCGCAATCCACCCTGGCCCAGCTTCCAATGCATAAAGGAAACACTGACCATTTCTGAGCATGCAGCAGCGAGGGAGCTTCAGCTTCAGGCTGTTACCCTGGTTGTTCACCATCTGCAAACCCCTGAAACAGGCTGGGGGGGCTGCAGGCAGGGTCCATGCTCCGAGAAACATGCCGATTTGTCAAGAGCTCCAATCTCCAGCAGGTGCTAGGAGCCCAGCTGGTTAATTAGCTGTGGGATTCATTAATTGATGAGTATCTCCACAGTTTGGCAAGTGCAGGATGCTCTCAGGGTGTTAATTACCCTCCGTTCATATCCCATGAGTTGGCGGGTTGCAAAGAGGATCAACATGGGGAAGAAACTCAGAGCCCATAGGGGGTCTCTGACCCTGTACTGGCCCCTTCCTTCTCTCCTGCTTCATCCCCTCATTGATGGGGCAGTGATGAGTATTGCACTTTGCGGCTGGGGGCAGGTTCAAATCCTACTGAAAAGGATGGATGGTCCACCAGGCACTTCTCCACCACAGACTTCTTGTGCTGCCTTGGTCAAGTCCCTGCGGGGGGGAAACAAGTTGCCCTCATTATACATCAGGTTCAAAATCCAAGTCAGCAGTAAAACCCGCTCAAGCACCTGAGTGAAAACATGCTTGGGGCTGTACAGCTGCTGTGCAGCTCAGGGCAACCCCCCAACCCACTTAGCAAACCAAATATTTTGATGTCTAAATCCTTTAGGATTCTCCAGTTTGGGGCAGCAGTGCCCCTGTCTCTCACAGGTGCCTCGCTCAGGGTGGGAGACCAGGGCTGAAGTGTGGTAGAGAGGGGGGAGTTTACAGCGAGGATATTGGCAAGTCCCTGCCCTGACGGGGGCTGTGCTGATAAAGACATAAAGGGCAGCGTGTGTCGCTCTGGTGCTATGATAATGGAGTTATTTCAGCTACTAGGAGATCCCTTAACCTTAAGCCTTCATACAGCTTCAAGCTCTCCCCACTGCTAGATATGTCTGGCCATGGGTGGATCTAGGATTTTAGAAAGAGGGGTCCAGGTGGTGTGGTGCATCATCGCCGCATATAGCACAGCATGTATTCTTCTCCAGTGAAAGAGAAACTAGAAGCTTTACTAAAATGTTAGAGGGTTAGCGCCATATTATTCATAGATTCATAGATGTTTGGGTCGGAAGGGACCATAGCAGATCATTGAGTCCGACCCGCTGCCCTGGGCAGGAAAGAGCGCTGGGGTCACACCACCCCAGCAAGGTACATGTCTAGCCTCCTTGTAAAGACCCCCAGTTTAATCAGAATGAAAACAAATTTGATTACTGGAATGTGCACTGATTTGCCAGATTAGATCTATCGAGTTTTAAGAACCATAACAAACTAGGCAAAAAATGGTCAAAATAGTCAAAAGATATTGTCTCCTGTAGCCATTATAGTAAATGCACGTCTCTTATTTAGATTCATAAAAAAAAATCTAGCCTTCTTGAGCATCTGGATAGTGCCTCTAATACTTCACTGCCAGTCATTTTTACACCTGAGTTCATATGACCACATCTGAGTGAAGGTTTTAGGTAGAGCGGAATGCTAAATGGGCAGAAGCAATTGGTGACGGACAGGGGGGACAAGGCTGAACTCCTCAACGAGTTCTTTGCCTCACTGTTCCTAAGCGAGGGGCACGACAAGTCTCTCACTGGGGTTGTAGAGAGGCAGCAGCAAGGCACCAGACTGCCATGCGTAGACCTGAGATGGTGCAGAGTCACTTGGAGAAACTGGATGCCTTTAAGTCGGCAGGCCCGGATGAGCTCCATCCGAGGGTGCTGAAGGCACTGGCCGACATCACTGCACAGCCA